AATGAGGTAGCAACAGGGCTAAGTGGAAAGTACTCAGAATACAGGGAAACCAAACTGTTCATATCATGGTTTAACCTCAGCTAAAGGCTAAGCCCCACACAGCCTTCAGTGGAATGGGGGAGAGAATTGGAAGAGTGAAAGCGAGGAAAAACTCCTGGGTTGAGACAAAGACAGTTTAATAGGTAAAGCAAAAGCCATGCACACAAACAAAGCAAAAGAAGGAATTCATTCCCCACTTCCCATCAGCAGGCAGGTGTTCAGCCATCTCCAGGAAAGCAGGGCTCCATCACACATAAAAAATCGTGGGGAGAAAAATGCCCTCCCTTCTAGCATCCCCCCCCCCCTTCTTCTTCCTTCAGCTTTATATGCTGAGCATGATATCATACGGTATGGAATATCCCTTTGATCAGTTTGGGTCAGCTGTCCTGGCTGTGTCCTCTCCCAACTCCTTGTGCACCCCCCAGCCTACTCACTGGTAGGGTGGTGTGAGAAGCAGAAAAGGCCTTGGCTCTGTGTAAGCACTGCTCAGCAGTAACGAAAACATCCCTGTGTTATCAACACTGTTTTCAGAACAAATCCAAAACGCAGCCCATACTAGCTACCATGAAAAAAATTAACTCTCTCACAACCAAAACCAGCACATCCCACTTGTAGGGACATCTGCTTCTCCCCAACTCAGCTGGGCTCCAAGGGGCAGAGATAAGACTAGCAGTTGCTACTACTTTGCCTGAAAGAAGAGAAGGGAGAATCCTTACTTGTTCTGGCGATCGGAAGGAGCAGCTTTGGGTTTTGGGAAACAGAAACCTGGAAGCAGCAAGAACTAATACACTGATCTAGTTAACAGCCCCAACAGGACTTATCCTCATTAGGAAAGGACTGTGAGACTGATGACAGCCCAAGAGGTCACACTGACTAATTTGTCAGAAGCAGTGGTGATTGCCCACTGGGATGAGTGGCTGTACATTCAGCATCATTAGAGATGACAATTTCTTGAGGTTACGATCTAGAGCCAACAAGCTTCAAGACAACTCCTTGCTTTAGCCCATCAGTAGACGGTCCCTACATTACCAGCTCTCCATAGCTAACGAACTCAAGCCCCACTGCTCTGAACACCACTGTTACTAAAGCACTATTATGACTTGAGAGCTCCTGCCTGAAGGGTCCAGCTGTACACAAACACTTAGTATGACAAGGGAACATTTAAAAAATGCTTCTCAGTGAAGTCATTAAAATGGAGTGAAACTTCCACTATAGTTAAGAGTCAGAAGATAGAGCAGCCTGTGAAGCAAGAAAGTGCTAGCTGGTGCAGAGCAGGTCATACCATTTCACTGCTCCATGCTTCAACTTTCACAGCTATCAAATGTAGAGGACATAAGCTGTCCTCTATAAAGCTTATATAAATCTACAGATGGAAATTGCAAAGAAAAGCTAGGGTTTATTACGTAAAGATCCTGCCCTTCTACCACATAGGGCTACTTCAACAACAATTCTTTTGACCCAAGGGCAAGACACTCCTTTTCTCTATACAAAGTACTTTCTCCCAATTAGGGCTGCCCTGTTTTGCAGAGTATAGATAGCACAGCAGGTTTTCAACAGCCTGCAGGACCTTTAAATGTTACCATTTGCTAAAGAGAGATCACAATTATATTTGCGCTGACTTGGATGCAACCCTCTCAGGCTGCCATAAGGGTGAAGGGACAGCTCCATCCATTATGCATGTCCAGTAAAACACCACACAAGTGAGAGAAGATAATAAGATGCAAAACAGCAGGAGAGCATGCTGCTCCTACCCTAATAAGGTGAGTTAGGCAAGGGGCAAGCTGAGATGGGGAAAAGCAGACCAGCAGCATGTGGACAGGTTCCTGCTTGGGCCTTTGCATATGAGCAGCCTGGGTGAGCAATGGCCTTTTCCAGATTTTGCATACCAGCAAGTGGAACATCACTTCCAGTCCATTCCCTTCAGTAGTGCAGGACTCAAAATAAGATGGCACTCTCCACAACAAGAGGGAAGTGTGGCATTTCTAGTGCTTATTATGGAACAGCCAAGCTCTCATAGCACCACAGATCCATGGTTAAGAGAGATTTCTCTTATTGCCTAGGTCACAGCTGCTTTGCTAAGTCACAACCATCTCTGGGATCACCCTGCCCAAGAAGATAGAGACAAGCAATGCTTGTCAAGCACAGCTGGGGTTCGCTGGAGCTGTTACCTCTCCACAACTTATTAGTGCAAGTTGTGGTTCTTCTCACACATCTCCAGCTTCTCAGAACACGAGGTGGTTTGTGAGAAACAGCTTGGTAGAAGACCAGCAGCAGAACAAAGGCAAAAAATGCCTGGGTCTACTTTAAAAAACACACCCAAATGGAGAATGCCCTTGCCTGCTCCCTAACTCAATTCCTCCAACTGCAGTTCCTGCACTGTGATCCTGCTAAGAACTCGGAAGACCAATTCTAAGAATAGGCCGAAACAAAGACTAAGCTCAGCTATTCTCTCTATCTATGTCCTCAGTGCTCCTTCACAGTCACCCATAAAGTGCTTTAGCTAGCGGAGAACATGGAAACCAATAAGCAGGACCCTGGACTCTTGCTGTGCTAGTAGCTTCCTCAGCTAAAAACAAATCAACCCACCACCTTCACTCAAGCCTACAGCCAAGCACATCCCTCCACAGAACCTGTCCTGCACACCCTTTGCTGTCTGGAAGCTTTGACAGAGATGGGAAAAGAACAGTCTCATCTTCATTAGATGCTTGATTCCAGTCAGAAAAGAGTTTGTGCTGGTGTTAAAGGTGTCAACCTCCACATTATTTGTTATAAGGGATCCTGTATGACAGTGTAGTGGGCAGAAGAGTCTGCTCCAGCAGGGTCCTGACACTGCGAGGGGCTGCTCTGCTGATGTTTCTCAGGAAAATACAGTGTTTTGTGAATCAGATCTTTGACAGCAGAAACATCACCTCTTTCTGTGGAGAAGAGACAAAGACAGAAAGACAGTTGTTAGGGACTCTCAACAGGCAGTACGAAAGTCTGTCTTCCTCAAGAAGTACCTGGAACTCTAGTTCTCAGCACATCACCTGTCAGTGGCCCTTCCTCTCTTTTTTCCTTCACCCTTTCTGCACTCACCCACACCCAGCTGCTGCAGGAGACTTCCAAACTCTGGGTCACAATCCAGGATTTTCAACAGGTTGGTGGATTCCATTCTCTCCAGCTGCACATCCCAGTAGATGTAGATTTTCTGATTGAAGCTGACATAAACCAAGCAGGGGCTGTTGCTTCCTCCTTTGCATGCATAGAGGCCTGCAGTAAGCAAAAGTGTGGAGATAGAACTACTTCCAAAAGGGCAGAGAAAGCAAATAGGTAACTTCTCATGATGAAGTACCAAAGCTGTTAGCAGAAAGCAGCAAGCACCAGGGGTTACAGGCATAAGCATCAGCTTGGATATATGAAGTCCCTTTGAGACAGTCCAAGAAAGTGTCTCTAAACTGTTATTAATGCGTGGAGCTTGGGGATTTGCAAGCTGCTTTCCTGCAGGTCTGAGAGAGAGGACTGAGCAAAGCCAAGGCTCAGGCTGTTTCCATGGGGCTCCTTATCTCCACTTGAGAACTGCTTAGAAGTCTGCAAATTAAAAAAGTGGTGGAGAAGACAAGAGACCACTGTAGCACTCCCAAAAAGGACAGTAAAAAACCCCAAAACCATCACAGACAAACCTTGGCATAACCTCCTCTCACCCCTACTCTTCCCAGATGCCACCAGAGGAAAGACTAGCTGGACCTTCTGCAGTATATACACAGGGAAATTATTCCCCACTGCAGACTGACAAAGGATTCCAGGTCTCCCAGAAGGGAGTAGTAGCTTTGAGGGAGAAGTGCTGTGAGGGCTGGCTTTGCAATCAGGCTCCCCACCTGCACAGAAGGCACTGACATTCTCATCTGCTTGAAATCTGGCAACAGTCCGATTGTGGTCAATGATGTACGTCTGACCATCCCATGCACAGGCAATCACCTCCTCGTGCCCATTGCCCTGCAAGAACCATAAGAACACATATTAGCGCAAACATCAACTACTCACAGCAGTCAAGAACCTTTCTTGTTTGCTCAGAGACATAACACTAATGTCTGAACAATATGTCACTTCTGGACACCTTGTCCAAACATGTTGCACTTGGCCAATCTTTTTGCAATTGGACACCACCTCTCTCTTCTCTATCGTAATCCTTACGTATCATAAGAGCTTGTAGACAATCGGGGTATTAGCAGTGTGCAAAACCATTCAACTTTGCAAGACAAAAGAGCAGGTGGAGGATGAAAAAGTTCATAGCAGGATGCTGGGCTCACTAGGTCACACAGGCAGACACAGCTCAACCTCTTGCAGGTGTACAGACTGACACGAGTGCAGAATGCATCAGCACAGTCAGAGCCCTCTGTATGTCATCCTGAAATAATCTCATCCTTTTTCAATCAAATCATACTCCCTATGCCCTTCCTAAATTCATATACACAAAGCCATGTTGAGTTTTTGTCTTCATCCCTCCCAGCCCTATTCACAGACACTCACAGTAACATCCAGCTTTTCCAGAGCAAATAGCTGGTGATCAACCTGGACAGACCAGAGCAGCTTGTCTGCTCCCTCCATGAGTTTCAATGTCCCTGAAAGGACAAAAAAAACAAACAACTTAAGATTGTCTTGAAAACATTAAACTGGGAGTGAGATGTTTGCAAACACTGGGCCCTGCACACTCCTTAACACTCTGGGTTCTGCAGGCAGAGGGCTGGGCCCATGGTACTGGCTATGGTTGATAATAGATAACACAATCTCAGTTCTGGGAAGGACAGCAGTCCATTATCTTGTCATGAGTAACTGAAACAGAGAAAAAAACGGGAGCAGCCCTGCTAAGTGGATTGTACTCTAAGACAAGAAGAAACCTGCCCAAACAGGCTCCCAAAGTACAGTACATCAACAGATCTCACATGAGACAGTGAGTAACCTAGAAGCTTCTCCCCATGCCCTACAGATCATGTGATCTCAGGACAGTACGTTGACAGGTATCAGCTGAGAGCTGGTTGCCTAATAGCATGGGCACAGCCTCTTGGCTACTAAAAGCATACTGGACACTTACTTCACATACCGTTTTTCTATCATCCTGAGATACTGTGATAGTACTGGGTGGATGGCCATGACAGAGTGGAACATAAACATGAATCTATCCTCACAGTGCCCTCCAGCCTCTGTATGAACCACAGTGAGGCACGAAGCCTTGCCAGATGCAGAAGCTTCAGAGTTCAGGCCCAGAGAATAATCAGAAATTCCCTAGGACATCACTGGGCAGATGGACATCTGGCCCAAACAGGCCAGACTGCCTATCTGGGAAAAGAGAAGCACAGCATCTTGTCTCCACACTGTTGTTTTTTGAACAGAAACTTGGCATTCACCTTATTAGATTCAATCCTATTGTAGCCTGTCCTATCACTTCTCAGTCAGGGGCACAGCAGAACCACCTGGCTCCAGGCCTGCGTGAAGCCAGCTGCTCTCTACCAATATTTAAGTTCCAGCATCCATTTCCTTTACTGCTTTTGGAAACAATGCAATTCCCTTCAAGTACAAGGACACATCTCTGCTGTGGTTTAGAGGCTCCTGTCTACATGAATGACACCGTTGAGCTGGCATCTCAAACAGTTGTTTGAGTAAGCAGGCAACTTAAGAGTCAGCATGTGAAAGTTCTAGTCTCACTCTCCATCTCAAGCTTTCAGCATGCCTTTGGGCCAATGACCTAGCCTCTTCATTTTCCCAGCTGCTCGCTGCAGCATGCCGTTAATACTTCTACCTCCACAGGCCATGGGACCATACAGGTAATTAATGTTTATAAAATGCTTTGAAATCCACAGATGAATAAACTGTACCAGGGGTGAGAGAAAGGCAGGTATTAGTAACATAGAAAACACAACAGGTTTCCTGAAGAGAGCAGGCCTGTGCAACATGAGACCAAATTCAGTAAGGAACAGAAACACAGGCTGAGCTTTAATATGTTTTATCGTATCCTCAGATACAGGCATGTTATCACACACCTGGTTTATGGGGGACTTGCTCACAGTGACAACTCTTACCTTGGCTCCTGTCTTAGCTTTCATGCCTTCATATAAAATATGTCAGCAAAAAGAGTCTTTGAGTCAAATTCTCTTGCTTGACCCAGGAAGCATTTCTGAAGCCCAGCTCCCCCTCCTTTCAAAATCAAAGGCACTGAGCCCCTGGTTCCTTGCTTTGAATTAGTGACAGACCTTGGACACCCCATAGGCCTTTCTTCTGGGACAGTGGTAGGACTTACCATCCAGAGTACAGAGGGCAAACAGACCTGAGCCACTATTCTCACTGGAGCAGCCTGTAAGTGCAGAAGAGAATTACAGGAGTTGATGCTGTTTTATGAGAGTTGTCCCCTACCTCTCTTGAAAAAAAATAAAGATTCAAGACAAGCTGATCCATCCTGCCTCCTTTTTGCCCAATTTTGACACTGCTTATCAGATATCTACAGATTCTTGCAACCAATCATACTCCATGCTGGCTTTTATTTGTAGGACACTGGCATCTCAAAACCTAAGACCTTTGGTTTGCACTGATACAGGCACATCTGGCTCTGCTGGCTCCTCCTAGGAGTCTGTCCGTACCACATGCGCACTTGCAGGCCCCTGGCAGTTCCAGTTTTAGTGAACTGCATCACATCCTCTCCAGGCTCCAGAAATGCACAAGCACAGGCAGGACTATCGCAACTAAAGAACATCTGAAGCCAAAACAAGAGTATTACAAATGTAGACTCAATGTGTCTTTCAAGGACAGGAACATGGCCTTCGGCTGTTCTGGGAAGCTGCACGGGACGAGGAGAAAAAAAAAAAAGGGGGGGGGGGGGGGGGGCAGAAGGACAAAGCATCAGTCACAGTAACACAAAAGTACCTCTATGGCAACTCCTGAATAAGTCTGTGGAGATCACGCTACCAACTCTGTTGTTGATCGTCTCCCAGCAAACACTGGTCAGATGCTACAGAGCCCTTGCTTTATGAGCAGATTAGACATCTGCCTTCATGCTCATCTCCACACTCAGCCCTGGCTTTCCTGGGCTATGCTCATACAGCTGCGAACTTCCTGCAAGCAGTATGCTCTCCAAAGCCTGTATATGACAGTTACGTGCAGGACAGCACTGACAAATGTGACCAGTTACATCTGCAGATGAGACTCCCCTAACCACCAGGCTGCTTCAGTACACTCACTACCTAGCTACCAGTCAGAAAAGACATGCAAGGTCAAGTTTTGAAAGTGGTATCACACTTGGTGGGGGAGGACTAGAGTTGTATTCGACTACAGCTGCATTTAACCCTTTCAGTGACCAGGGAGAGACATTGGCTCCCTGAGGTCTGCAGGAGCCCAGGAAACCTGGCAGTCAGGAACAAGCCAGCAGAGGTGAAAACAAGTAGGCAGTTTCCTCAGAATGACGTAATACTGCAAGCCTACCTCCACAGCCCATAGACAGCTCCAAGCTACAACACTCGGCACACTCCCAGGACACAGACTACGCTATTTCTGCGGATCAGCTTGAAGCAAACAGTCAGCTGGTTGAGTGCTCTATTGCCCCTAGCTGACATTCATCCAGACAGGCTTTGATCCAAAAGATCTGCTGTGCCCCCCTTACAAACTGGTCAGCAGGGCACTCCTCAGCTGTTTCAGTACTGATGGTCCAGCATCCCTTATTCTACATGCCTGCCTTGTTCACAGACACTTCTCATTAGATGCAAGGCTTTGTATGCAGTGAAATAATTACTTTCATGCTCTGTTGACCATGTTTGCTCATAGCAGCATCTGAGATGCTGAAAACATAACAAGCTTAGGAACTGGGGAGGAAGAGCACTCTGAGGAAGGGGAAGAGGAAGGTTTTCAGTTGATTACTCTTCTGCCACAACTCTAATTACATTGCACAGCCTAAATTGTTCTCAGACAGCACTGCAGCGGGTAATACTTGGACAGAGCAAATGCAGCTGGATTCCAGCCAGCTGCAGACAAGAGAAAGTGATCTGCATTGGGAATTTTCTGCCTTCTTGTGTTACAGCCACATGCTCCAAGGGGGACTGAAAGCTGCTTATTCTCCATAGCAAAACAGGATTCATCAGGTGCACCAGGTGCGGGTCAGAGCACAAAGCAGTTACCCAAGGGAAGCAGTGGTAGTGTGTAAGAAAAGTCTGGACACAACAGCAGTGTGTCAGGGCTGAGAGGAGCCTGCAGCTGTGGAGAGTTTAGATACAACAGCTACACAGAATACATTGGAAGGAGACAGAGGACACCGATATAAATGAAATGTAGAAACAGCTCTGGAGGGGCTGGGACTGAATAGGTGAAGGAAGAGCATGATATAGCTGCCAAGTATCAGGAATCAAATGCTGAAAAGCACAAAAGTAAGACTAAAGATGAGGCTCTGGAAAGGAATAGATGCATCTAGGGAATAAGGGGAGGGCATAAGCTGCCACCATGCAAAAGCAACAATCAAGGACATCCGTATGAGCACGGCATGGTAGCCTGATTCAGGATGACTAAATGCAGTCCAGTGGAGGCTGCAGAGAAACTGTTGTGCAAGGTGAAGAGTAAGAGCTACCTAGGGAAGGACAAAGGCTATAAAAAGTTCAAATGCAAATATCCAGCTGTCTCTCTTTGGGAGCTGGCTAACAGAAGCCAAGTTCCTCTGTTCTTGCAGCTGCCTCCCACTGTTATTTTTCAACCACAGGAAATCTGATTTCATGCTGGACTGACATACTGAAAAAACTAACACAGGCAACTGTTGGGCCAGAGACCCCAAGCTCCTAATCTCTCACCTCGGCCGATGCTACCAATTAGATGAGTGGAAACATTCTTGTTGTGAATCCGTCCAGATGTTTGGTGCAGAATAACATCTCGAATAGGGGCCTCACTAGGGAAAAGAGAGACACCACAGAAAGGTTATGGAACCATGCTTGGGACTGTGCCAGAACAATCTCAAGAGCACTGTACTCCAAAGCTCTACAAATCCAGAGATTGATAGAGTTTGTGTATGGGTTAGCCCTTTAATGGTAAAGACCAAGGAAAAGAATGCATGCCACTCCATGTATGAAAGGAACTTGTTAATGCTTAAAAAAACCCCAAAACCCAGCATGATTTGATGCACCAGAAAACTGGAAAGATCTCAAACAAAAAAAAAAAAGAAAGAAAAAGACAGAAACATGTATTCTGATCAAGGAAAACAAAAAGACAATTTTTATCATTACTGTCATGTAAGCCTGGCTGCTCTTCACTCAGGAAGTGTCTGCCTGGGGTTGAATAGGTTGGTCAGAGATCATGCCTGGGCCTGGCTTCTGGCTAGGAGACCAGACCATTTCACTAAGGTCTTTCAGACATAAAGGAGACTTGCCTAGCCCCCCTGCTGCTGCATTTTTCTGGGTCTGCCTTAAAGTCTCACAGAACACCACAGAAGCACCTGAATTCCCCACAAGGGTCCCTCCAGCACCAAGGACAATAACCTCACTGCTCATCGCAGTTGCTCTGGTTGTGATTTACAGTGCTGGCTGCCAGGGATCTCATTAGGAAACCTCCAATTACCTTGCCTGGAAGAAATGAGTGAATGAACCCAAAGTGTCATCCTGGGCTTCAGACTAACTGGGCTTGGCCCAGTCTTTCAGTTGCTACCCTTCCCACCATTAGACAGGTCACCAGATTGCCTACTACTCTTTCTCCAGAGATCTAGGTCACTCATTTCTCTGCCTTAGCCCCAGCACTGCTCCCCTCAGTCAGCTGGTTTTGCCATGCAAGCAGAGGAGGGTGGGATAACAAGGAAAGGCAGTAGTATTCATCTTTGTGATAGAGATGTGAAAAGTGTTCATGAAAGCTTGGATGCAGGTGGGCTTAACTCATGAACTCCCAGCAGTACAGCAGGTCACTGAAGCAAGGACAAATGACAGCCCATCCCGCCCCGCC